CTGCAGGGCTGCGGCCCTCCAGGAACTGAGTTTGACACCCCTGCTACATAGCTTCAATGTGTCAGTTTTGAGTCATTTTAGCACTTAGTAACAAATAGTTTTAGTTATGATTAACAGAGCTGGAGTGTCTGACCTTGAGTTTCTTGATGCGTAGCTCGATGGTCTGTATGTCCGTGCTGAGGTCCAGTCCCCGCTGCTGCTCCAGCTCTTCTTCTGCCTGGTCCAGCCAGCTGCAGATGCTGTTCAGGTCAGAGTTGAACTGCTGCCACTGCTGCATGTTCTGCTTCATGCGCATCTCTTTACTGAGAGCCTGAGCCTGCAGCAGCTCCCAGCGCTCGATCACACCTGCACAACACAGACGACACAAATGCATCTGGGTCACACTTTATAGTAGCTGTATTCAAAAATACACATTATATGATGCATCAGACAAAAGAAAATCAAAATGCATCATTTAATAAAATATTCCTTTTATTATAAAATGCATGCTATTCCAAAGAGAAGTGTTTTTCTCATCCAAAATATAGCTTGATCATAATGAAAGCTGCATCTTCATGATCAGATGCAAGTCTCACTCAATATTACTACTGAATATTAATTTTTTTAATTGAATTTAAAACATTCAAAATAGTTAATTTGTTATGAAACTACCTTTCCTCCTAGCCAATCTTTTATGCAACTTATAATGACACACTATGGCTTATATACTATCAGCATTAGTTTTAATGAGAAGTTTTAAGCCTGCATGTATTTATGTGCGTGGCTCAGAACATTATCTGGTTTTGTACCTGAAGTTTGGGACTCTGAGCTGTTGGGGTTGACGAAACCTATTATCTTGTCTTCCTCTTCTTTCAGCTCAAATCCCACTCGCTTTACTGCATCTATACTGCCACGACATTCTTCAAGAAGACGCATCTGAGAGAGAAATAAATATAAATTAATTTAGCAAATGCTTTCTTATTCAAACCAGTGACAATTCCCCTAATATAATCCTATATAGATTATTACTCACATAACCCATGTAGGTGGCGTCCAGCTCAGGGCCGGTCGGAGTCCGGCTGCGTATGATGTTCTCCGTCTGCTGCAGATGGAAGCAGCTGGTGTTTAGAACTTTATCCAGCTGTCTGATGTGAGTCTCCAGTGATCCAGCGTCACCTGTAGAGGAACATCACATTAGTTATCAATGGAGGAACAACAGGAAGTTGCTCTGAGCTGCGTTTGGAACCGTGTTCTCTTTCTCAAGCCTGATGCAGTGCATGATCAAGAGATGGACGTCACATGATTGCTTTCTCATTAGTCAAACATACTAGGTGCTTCTAATCAAATGTATCATTAGTCAAAGCAGTTTACAATCAGAGTGAATATACGCACTGCTCTTCAGGATGGCATGATAATACAGCACTTTTAAAAATGTTTGTT